CGTGTTCGCAAACTACTGGACATTTTGCCGTTAAAAGGTCCCCTAGCTTTCCAGCATTTCAAATTCTCTTTAAAGGACCATTATCCTGGCTTGCTGGAGTTACTTAATGACACAGCGATTATTAAACACCCTGATGACACCAACCAAGATGAATGTCAACGATTTTTTAAACACCGTGATGCTTTGATTCGTGAGCTTGATCTAACCAAACCAGACATCACTCAGTATCTACTCATGGAAGGTATACTCACCTACCAAGATTTTGACAAAATAAGAAATGCAAAAAGTAATGAAGACAAAGCACGTGTTTTGGTTGACTGTCTGCCATTTCGTGGACCACACGCTTATAAACATTTCATTCTTGCTCTGAAGGCTCACCAGCCGACTGTGATTTTAAAGTTAGAGTCCACAGACTTGGATCCTAATGTGGAGGATACATATTTGTAAATCAAATATACGAAAATTATAATCCCGGATTTAGCAAAAAGGCTATAAGAAAATACAAATTACTTAAACTACAGGCTTCCATAAGGAAATGCAACAACTGTGATACTTTCCTAATTTTATTTCAGTTTCTGCAGCGTTACTCTATTAATTCTGCTGAGTTGTAATTGAAACAAGAATCACAAAAATCACCACAAATGGGGATGTAGGCACTCAATAAATGTAATGGGGCAATGTGTTTATATATCTGTAGTAGCCTTGTCTGTGATGGAGGAAAAAGAGGTGATTCAGTAATCAAACTGGATTCTCTTTTTAATTTGAATACAAGGGAAATAAAAATAATGTTGATTGCTAATATACATTTCCTAAATAAGTTACAATATCTGATCAGATCAAATAAATTATAGCAAAGCACAGTCTTCACTGTAAATCTAAAAAATAATCAATTAAATGTCATCCATTATTATTCATTGTTATGTTTATTTTTAGCATATTGTCATGACTACAACCTGTTCTTTTTTTTCTTTTTTTCATAAATATTGATAAATTTCAGTGGCTTTTATCAACCAGGCAATCAATGGTGGCATTTGAACATGTTTCAGTCTTGTTCCCTTGGCCACCTGTCTATTTGAATTGTAAAACAGGTTTGTGGTAGTCATAGTATTATACCTTATCTGCAATGTGAATCCTAATATTATCAAATAGTTATCTAGACCACTTTTCAATGAATATTCACACTTTTCTTGTAAATAATTTGGTTGCTGGACTACTAGCTGCAATTTATTTAGTGCATATGTATTGTCATTACTGTTTACATATTTTTCTATACTATATAGATTTCTATTTTTTTAAGAATATTGTTCATATATAGTAATTACTCTG